AAAGAGTAATAAACCTTAATAAGATTGATATGTGTGAAATAAAAAGAAAATTGTTGAGGCCTCATTGTAGAAGCAAAATGACAACCATCATTTTGTAACAATACGGTCTAGTATAATTAATTTACGTTCCTATATGGGGCGATTGACTATATTTTCAATGATTATGCAATTAGAGATCAGCTAGATGAATATATTTCGGCGTCCTGAATCTTGACGTTGTATTATGTAATTTCTTTATGCTTCAAAAAAAAAAAAACGTACGCGGAATCATTAAAATACTTTTACTAAGACCCATTAGATGTACAAATCATATCATTATATATATTACGATGATAATAGTTTTTTCATCGTTACTTAAGAATAATAATTTATATTTGAAATTACTCGCTATTTCTGAACATAATTTGTATTAGAAATTAAATCGTTTGAATTTAATGTTCTATGAATTTTATACATAATTTAATATTTTAAAATCATAAAAATTCCTATCTAAAACTAATGAAACGATTACAATTATTTTTTTGTTGATTTTTTTTTAAGAGTTCTCCTAGAAAATAAAAATATTATTATAAAATTCATCAGATTATCATTTTCATGTTTGTTTTTATCACTAATTATTACTTGAAATGCATCTTATTATTTTAAACTGATGCATAATATATAAATTGTATTAATATTGAAGGTATAAGAATTTTATTTATTATTAATCTACAATTTATTTTTATTGCCTCAAGCATAAGCATATTTAGGAGGAATTATATTTATTAAGTAGTAAAGTTGTTGCTTCAGTCAGGCCATAAATTTGTTCAGATATTGTATGTATAATTTCGTCGCTGTTTATTTAATGTAAGAAGAATAAAAATACTGCAAATAATAACAAAAAAATCAAAAATACTATAAAAAAAAAAAAAAAAAAATCGGATAAATAATATGGTAGTTAAGAAAATTGTAAAATTATTCAATATAATAATAATTTAATAGCTAATATTTTTTATTGATTTATTTTTCATACATAATTTAATCATTATTTAACCAAATGAAGCAATTAATTTAAATTAAAATTAATTCATAATATTAATATTATATATTAATAAAAATAAAAATCTAATGTTTCTTTTTTTTTTAATTTATACTATCGTGTACGATTATCGTAGTTATATTATATAGTAACGTATGACCGTTTAAATTACTCTTTTTTTATTATTTTTAGTATAAACTTTATTAAATATCAATTTTTATGTATAGATCGAATTCCATTTTATAAAACTCCTTTACGAATACGATATATCATTGCTCTCTATTTTTAAAAAGTATTTTTTATCAAAAAACAAATGGATAGGATATAATCATAAAGTATTATTCGTCGTTGAAAAAAGAAATATAATCGATGAATATGAGGTAAAACTTTGTAAAGTCTCGAAACACAGCACAGTGGAAAAAAGTGTGGAAAACGAGAACAAAGGAACTTTTTCGTAATTGATGCATAGTGGAGAAGAGACAAAGTTGAATAGCTATTGGGTATTACAGGGAAAAACTAGTAAAGCAAATTTAAAAATTGTCTAAACCCACTCTCGTGCAAAGATAAAAAGATAATGCTTAGATATTTAGATAGAGAGATAAGGATAGAAGTATGTACGAAAGAACCTCGATACTAGTATATACTTTCCCACGCATAAGTAGAGGATTAAAATAGATAGTAAAAGTTCCGATATTTGTGACTTGCAGGAAATTGCGGACCCTTTGATGGATCTGAAGCAGGGAATGGAGACGCTGCGAGTGAATAAGACCTTCCGTGGCATTCTGAGCACGCTTCTCTCGATCGGGATATTCCTTAACGGAAATGAGGTAGGTATTGAAAGCTAGCCAAACGACATCCGCTTAATTCGAATCTCACTCATCTCCCTCTCTATATATTAGTAGGATTTGTTCAGCTGTATCGATTAATTTGCCTTGCCATCCGACGTCCGTGCAAAAAAAGAAAGAATGAGCGCGATCGCGGTGAGGGGGGGGGGGGGAGGGGGGGGGGGGAATAAGAATAAATTGTAATGCTTTAAATAAGTATTTTATCTTTTCAATTTCCCTTATATGCTGTATTCTCAGTATGAGTACTTGTTTCTCGTAGTTGGATACTTTATACGCGCACAAATAACTCAATTATTTGAAAAATTCATTTAAAAATTGAAAAGCCAAAATTCGAAAGAACAGCTTCGAAATATCATCGATGTATTAGAGCTTTGAGATTTTCAATGATAGCTAAAGGGATTTCCTTTCTTTTTATCATTTTAAATATCAGCTGCAGGAGCTTTTATGGATCAGCGTTGGCTATGCAATCTCTGATATGCCGAGGAAAAATTTTTTAATAATTGATACTAGAATTTTTGCAGGCAGCTACCTTATTATAAAGTTTTAAATTGGTTTACGAGAGTGTTGTTGTCTCTTTCAATTAAAGGAACATCATAATATTTTTTATCTAAAGATGTAATTCTAAAAGACACATGTCATCTGCGTAAAGTACAATCTGTTATCATTTATGAAAAAATGATTAAGTACTTTAATTTAATTAAGTACTTTTTAACATATATGTATGTATGTAATACAAACTAGATCGATTTAACAATAAGATTGTAAATTTCACATTTTACTTTGTATAAGAATAATTTGAAAGCAATTATTAATTATATTAATTTAATGTTAAGTCATTGGAATATATAAAGTATTTTTGGTTAAAAAAATTTTTTTTTTTCTTTATTAAAATAAACTTACTTTTAATATACACGTGGTACAAAAAGTTTAACTTTGTATTTACTTTTTTATAGGTAAAAGGATTTCAGTTGGAGTATTTGGCAAAAGTACCCGAAGTAAAAGATACTGTGCACAAACATTCTCTTCTTCACCATCTCTGTCACATGGTTATGGAGAAATTTCCCGATTCAACGGATTTATATTCCGAGGTACATTAAAATTTACTTAAATTTTTCTATTAAAAATAGGAAAAATATATAATATTTTAACAAGAATAAAGTTAACAATAACAGAATTTGAATTTAATTCTAGAGACGTGTACGTTATCTATATTATCACAATAATAAGTTGAATTTTTTGTATAGAAATATATGGGAAAGGAGTAATATTAAAGCTCAGAGAATTTTTGTAATAAAATTTAATATGCTATTTTAGCTCAATTAATTCTTATTCTACATTCGGCAATTCAAAATGCTTACTAATAACAACGGATGATCGATTAAAAAAATTTACTTAAATCATATTTTCTTCTATTGTTATAAAGATTGGAGCCGTTACAAGAGCTTCAAAAATTGACTTTGATGAGTTATCTTCCAATATTGGTAAGCTCGAGAGCGAGTGCAAGGCATCTTGGGATCATTTAAAACTAATTGCTAAACACGATGGGTCGACAATGATGAAAGTCAAGTGAGTATTGATCCATTACCAATTTTTGGATCTCATCAAATTATATACCCTACACCGAAACTTATAAGACCGAAACTAAGAACTTCTTTCAAGGTCATATAAATTGCCATTGAAGCATCTATACATGTAATTATGTAATTATGAATTCGCGGTAATTTACTTATTTCATGGTGTTTTATCCATAAATATATGAAAATGGAAAATTCCTTTCATTGCTCTGCTATGTTAAATTATGGTATAAGATGTTTAATAAGTGTAATTTAGTTTCGGCAAATATTTCGTCTGGTAAGATTAAAAAAGCTCAAATCATATTTATTGGGATGATCGCTTTCCTCAATAACGCGGATATTTTCCTTGAATGCAAAGAAAGATCCGCCCACGATGGATGACGAAACTAAATCGAGCAAGAGGATAAACTTTATGTTGTCTCGCAATCGCATATTCCGTATTGCGGGAACTAAATGATTTAAACGTTTTTTAGGATGTCAGATTTCCTCGCAGACTGCGCCGAGCGCATAATCGTCCTCAGCATCGTACATCGGCGCATCATCAATCGATTTCACAAGTTTATTATTTGGCTGGGTATACCCTTGCATCGTGTCCAGGACACCAAGCCCAACGAGTTCTGCCGCATCGTTTCGGAATTTGCTCTCGAGTACAGAACTACTCGGGAACGCGTCATCCAGCAACTTGAAAAGAAGGCGAACCACCGGGAGAGGAACAAGACGCGGGGCAAGATGATAACGGAGGTGAGGGTGCATATCTATATTTTCCTCGAAGAACGGTGAAAGATTCTCTACTCACCGAGTAAATTGAATTGCACTCGGACGCACTGGCTATCGAGTTTTTCCCTAAGCATACATACAAAGTATTGACGGCGAATCGAAGTTTTCGACGTTTCCCTCATTTCAAATCAACTCGAAATGATATATTTTTATAAAAACGAGCCATGTTTTCATGGCTGCATTGTAAAAAAAATATATACATTCGATCGCTCCTCCTATCACTTGTTTCAAACCTGCTTCTCTTACACACTGATTTTATTATAGACTTTGCTTGTAGATTGTAATATGTAAAAATAAGATAACAAAATCTTTTATATTGTACTGAACAACGAAAGTTTTAAAAATACTTTTTAAAATCTATTAATCATCAATAATTATTCTCATTAAAATACTTGTTATAATTAATTTATAACATATAGGTCAAAGGAATGTCGATATGTCTCATTAGTTTAACTATTTAAAGCATCATTCATTACGAAATTGTTTTTCGGTAAATTTATGCCTAATCGTAATCATGAGAAACTTGTAATCATATGGTTAATTAATTATATGTTTAATAAATTTTCCATACATAAATAAAGAGAATAAAAAATTGTGTGACATTATTTTTTAATATAATGTCCGAAAAGAAAACGAATAAATAAAAATTGTTAACGGTGCATTGGAGATTTCCACATGTTAATTTCTATAAACCGCACTGGTTGTATATGATTTTCAAAATATTTATTTTTATAAATAAAATGGATAATCTCGTTATACAAGTAGGATATCGAGTAAGATAAAAAAATAGAATGTACCTGCTTTTCTCTGCGATCATATTTTTATCTCATTTCTTCCTTATTATCTCTTCTCCCCCCCCCTCTCTCTCTCACTCTCTCACACACTATATCTTTCTCTCTCTCTCTCTCTCTCTCTCTCTCTCTCTCTCTCTCTCTCTCTTTCTCTCATATTCGATCTCTAAACAATCGGCATTGAAAGCGTATGGACGACGAGCCGTTTTCAAATAGAGTTTTCTGTCTCCCGTTTCAGGTCGGCAAATTTAGGACGAAAGAGGATCGGGCGGACGCGGAGCTGAGGCAATTACTTGGAAGCGATATCTCGGACGTCGAAAGTATCCACGGTACACTGCCATGGAGGAGGCAGCGCAAAGATGGTGAGCTTCCCTCGCATCCTTTCCATTCTTGTCATATCGGTGTTCTTGTGCTGTATAACGAGAAAATACCCAAGGGATTCCGTATCTTTGTGTCGCGAGTGGTGCAACAGGTCGCCGCTCCTGCATTTTTCATTTGATTTTTCGAATGATCCGTGAGAGGATGGCTCCGCTTTAAATATAATTTGTGTTTCGGTGTATATTTGTGATGAGTAAGGTGAATTTACGAGATATCGACGAGTCTTACTTGCAAAAGCCTTTATCGTAGAATGCAAAATTTTCATTTAATAGAAATTTAATAAATTACTTTCAACGTTTATCGAGGGAAATAAATTTTGGCTCATCTTACATAATGCTAGAGAGCGATTTTGAGAATATTATTTACAAATTAAGTGGACTATCAAGTATACGTTGCTTGTTTGAAATTGATCGATTAAACTGCTAATTATATGTTGTTGAGACGCATAATTGAATATTCACTAGATTACAATATCTCAATACATTACTTCATGCGTATGGGGGGTGGGGTGGGGGGAATACGTTTATATTATATTTTTATTAGAAAGTGAGGTGTACCGTGTGTAAAATATTGATCGCTTTATTAAATAAATAACGAATGCAAATATTAATTTTCAAATAACGTTACATTGATATAGAGAAGAAGAAAATATTATACCCCAACTACTATAAACTTCAAGTCAAAATGACTTATTTGAGTAGCCATGAACAATCTCCGGTTACTAAGTACATAACAAGCAATTGGTCCTGCCAAGTAAGCGCCTAACCACTTGCTACGTCGTTTGTCCTCGAGACATATTAAAGCGCGCATATCCACTCGCAGATTTATTCCGATCGCTCGGTGCTCCGCAAACTCCGTGTATCTTGCGCAAATCACGAAAGAAGACGCTTTCGTCTGGAGATAAGTCGACAGTAGCCAGCCGAGCTTTCGAAAAATGCGCTCTCACTCCGAGGGACTATTTATTGGGCGGGGGTCGGGATAAGCGAGGCGTCTCTTGCTAAAACGCATAATAAAGCCTTTTATATGTGTATATATAAACAGATAGATAGATAGATGGATAGATAAGGAGTAGGGTTGGGTTAAATTTTCTGCTTCTGGGCATGCGCCCCCTTTCTTGCTTGAAAATACATGTTTGTATTTTGTTCGTATCTCCTGATGATGATATTTCCTATTAAGCTCCCTACAATATCAGCAGAATTTTATCTTTCTAATAATTTCTATAGCACCATGGAATATGATTGCCATTCGTTCCATAGTTGCTAATTAATTTTTTATTTTTCATGTAGTATTTAAGTATCATTTTGCACTTAGCGATAGCATTAACAGTCCGGCTTATTTTAGCTATAGTAGCTCGTACGAATTAAGTAGTTACGATAGCAAAGAGGTACTTTCACATTATGATTTTTAAAGCACGTAGAGAAAAGAAAATTAAGGAAAAGAGCGGATGTTAGCTACCGAATACTAATTGAATCGATAAAGTAATAACTACCGCCGTGTGCGATATGATACAACGTAGAACGTGAAATTTAGGTTAAACTATTTAGTATTTTCATATTGAATTTGGGTAGTTTCGAGAAAACTGGATGTAGGATTAATTTAATATTCCGAGCAATTTACCTTTCGAGTTTCATTTTTATTTTAACCATCCATTCGCAGAAAATTATAAAACTCATACACACTTTTCTTTGCTGCTGATGATAATAATAATAATAATAACGATCGTCATCGCCGTCATTCTTCGCGATAAAAAAAGTGAAAAAAGGGAATGGAAGAAAAGCAAGGAAGGAATATACGAAATTATAATTTTAATTATCTATTTATGCAGACTACGATTAAAATATTACATAAAATTAAAGAATAAGTGGTTAATAGAAAATATTTCCACGCAGTGACTCGTAATTCTAGAAATTTAAAAATTATTGACAAATTCAATTAAGCCACTACTAAGGTGAAAAGTTATTTACTTTGCGTTTTGATGCCCTAGGAAGATCAAATATTTTTATGTAGATAAACTTCAGATTATTAGGTAAATGTCGTTGGAATATTGATTGCAGTTAGCGTCTCGCAAAAGAATATCGAACCCCGATTTTCAGGTTATGACATTCGTAGACAAAAGGCGAGCTGATCTATTATTTATCCAAGCTTTTCGCGCCACCATATTTCTTTTAATTTCCTTGATCAAACTCAAATGTACGTTGCTGTTAGATGGTAGTTTGCTTAATATTGCCGTACAACGTCGCTACAAAGTTATGAAATAATTTAATTAAATGTCTTGCAGTCGTAGATTGTGAATAATGTTGCTTGTATATCCATAAATATATAAATTCAAATTATTACTTTTATTTTATATTAATATGGTAGATTTTTCAATACTATTCGGTATAATTCCGTACTACACGAAAATAAAAATAATAATGCATTGATGTATTAAGTATTACACGATTTTGTCATATTTGTAAAAGTTCACGAGTTACTCGCATACAAGTTACTCGCCTAGCATTCCAGTCAAATATTAATGTTGCAATCACTCGATCGAGCTTAAATCTATCTTCTATCCTGTTCTACTTTTTATCGTCTCATTTATTCATTTAAGAATTTGCATTCTTCTTTATATTGAATAAAAAAATTATTTTTTTTTTCAAATTTAATTTGATTATTATTTTAATTCTCTTACACGACTGATGCCATTAACTTTATCGTATTATTTATAATTTATATTTCTCATCGAAAGTTATGTTATTGTGTCGATGAGCTTTTTTCTATAGAATAAATATATTAAATAACTTGTTACATTTATACCGTTAAATGCTCTATAATATGTATGTTGCCATCAATTGAACATCATTTCACTATTCAATTCATTAAAAGTCGATCGAGTACGATTATTCGATTATCAAGTCAAATGGAATTATTATCGTTATCAAGCTTTTCAAACTCACTATAAATTGTCAGTTTATTAGAGACCAAATTTTTTACAAACAACTCTTCGAATCCTTTAAGCTCGCAAGCCGTACCTATAAAACTTTGTTCTTTTATAACTGTTTGAATGTTGGAATACAGGCTTGAAGGCTTAACTATTTCACGTATAGAGCGATTTTATCGTAGAAAGGAAACACAGACTCAGTGTATGATGTTGGTGTACTATCCCTTTTAATAATTGCGAGTGATAGAAAAAATTATGATTTTCATTCGTAGCTTGATCGTGGAATACACCAATCTTAATATCTACTTGCGTGTTTCTAAAGCTCTTTTGCACTTTGTGCTGACTTTTATCATATAGTAATAAATACTTCAAAGCATGTTTGTCAATCTTATTCGAATGAGGCGGTATTTTCAAAATTTCACTCTTTCGGCTGGGATTCATTTCTCAAATCATTGAAAACAACATTCCAGATCTGTTAAAATTACATCGAAATAATTTTTACTTACAAAATATGTATGTAAATTATTTTTATTTCCATTATAGTATGAAATAATATTGAACATTTTAACTTTATCGCTTTACTAAGGCTCGTAAAACAATATAATTGAGAAATTATTAATCATAAATATTTGCTTATTATAAATATTATATTATTATTACTATATATCATTTTATGCCAGAATATATATATATATATATATATATATATATATATATATTAAAACAATCATTTCGTTGTTTTTAAGTATCCATTTCTATTACAAAAAATAATACACAAGTTCATTATTAAAATTTAATAACATAATTTTTGGAAGTTACATATGAGCTTTTGTTATACGCGTAAAAAGGATTAAGTAGCGACACGTAATTTATCGTTGCACGTTGACATTGAGCTTCAAATCCGAGCAGTATTCTCTCGGTCTATCCAAGGATTTTTCCATCCAATCGCATTTCCACTTCTTTGCCACCTTATCTGGCTGAATTAGATTTTAAATGCGACGTCTTCAGTACAAATTGCATTGAAAATAAACGAAATGAGAAATACCAGACAAAGAAAGACAAGGAGACGAAAAATAAAATAAGTCGAGGAAATCAAGGATTGCCACACAAGTGGAAGCGACACAAATTTGATTCAGAAGATAAGTAATATCGAATAAGCATAGGAACTTGGACTGATAAATCAAAACAAAGAAGTAAAGAGTCTTAAAAGTTTTAACAAAAAAATTCATATTTTCGTTCATAATTATGAGTGTCACTAATGTTTTATTATTTCCTAAAATTCTCTCAAATTCAATAATTTTGAGGCTGTATTAAAAGTTGAAATAAGAAAATTTTTTTTTGATAATATCGAGTAAATATCCGTAAAATTACGGGTTATAAAAATAAATATCTAAAGTTTAATGGGTAAGAAAGAAAAATTTTAATCTCTATTACGCAATGCTTCATGCATTTTCTACGCAATCCTTTTCGCTCGTCCCATTGAAATAAACGTGGATAATAGATATCGTAAGAAAATAAAGGTCTTACATGGATTATCAAATACGCGCATGAAGAACGACATTAAAGATGTTACATAACGAAAGAAATAGGCTAGAGCCGTATAAAGACTAAAGGATATGTAACCTGTGGTATGTTTGTTTAAATGGCAGGGCGGACGTCCTTGGGTCCGCTGCTAAGAGACGAGAGGACTAACGGCAACCTGACCGACGGAGACGACGAGCTGCTGGAATCACTGGTGAAGACAGCGACAAAGACTCCGGCGACGCGCACAACGCCGAGGGAACGCAAGCGCACGCGACACGCCGATCGTAAGTCTTGTAAGTGAATTCGCTGCACCCTGCACCAACGCAACGGACGCGCACACCCGCCGCCTAGCCCCGGCATACCCTCTCTCTCTCTCTCTCTCTCTCTCTCTCTCTCTCTCTCTCTCTCTCTCTCTCTCTCTGTCTGTCTGTCTGTCTATCAATCTGTCTATCTCTTCACTCGTCGGCTTTCAGCCTGACTCGAGCGAGAGCTGCCTTGCCTGACCCGAGCTGATCTGCTTATCCTTTGAACTGAACGCGCGAGGTCAGTTGACGGAGGGATCATGCAAATTTGCCGGGAGCTTGGTAACCCTTCTTGCCAATCAACTTCCATCTCCACTCGGCTTGTACTTATCTCGTCATCTTATCTCGAGAATGTTTGTCTCTTGACCCCTAGACTGTTTTGCGCTACTACGTTTCTAACGTAATTAGATAAGCCTTGACATTAATGTCGCTCCTTTCTTTACAATTTCTCGGTGTTACTTACGTTTATCATTCTTTCTTTTATTTTTTTTTCCTTTTTTTTTTTCCTTTTTCTCTCTTTATTTACCGTACTACGTATATATTCGTAAATTACATAATAGACAATTGATATTCTAACGTCAATTTATAAAATTTAGCCATTTAGAGGCATTTCGTGCAACGGTTTGTAAAATGTGCGTCGTAATCGAACTTGATCCTTCATAGACTGTTAATATTCTTGATCCTGTGCAAAATTAACGTAGTTAAAAAAGAACTAATTGTATAATCTTCATTTTGTACAACGAAAGTGCACTGAATTAGAAATTGAATTAAATAAAACGTGAATAAAATTTGATCTTCGCCATTGAATAAGAATACAATTGCTTAATAAACATAAGCATTGGTAATGAATTAACATTAAACCTTGTATCAAAAATATTGAACTCGCTCGCCGAAAATTGTATGATATCCTAAATTCAATTATCCTAAAGTTTGGCTTCGATTCTTTCGCCTCGCCTTAAGTAAATTCGGACAGGGTAAAATAAAACGAAATAGCAATTTCAAGAAAATCATGCTCTACTAGCAGCATTACCGAAGACAAGCGACAAGAGACAAGTCGAGTTTATGGAGTGGGAGAGGGGGAGTTTCAGCGCAAGAAAAGAAAAAATAATTAAAAGGTAAAGAGAGCGAGGGAAAGCGTGTGTGCATCTGTCGATGAAATCGAAGATGACTCGAGGTACTTTATACTGTACCTTTGAAGTCGAGATCTTCGTATATGTATATATGTGCCACCGTCCGACCAAGTCGCTGTGGTTATTTCTTGCACCTTATCTGCACAGTTCTATCTCTATCTCTACATATAGCAATTCTTTCATTCTTTCAACGTATCACTGACTATTTTATATTATATGTACCTGAATCTCATTATTTTAACCTTTAGAGTACGAATTTCAGATTGCACTCGGATTTTATAAATATCAACTAATGTATTAGTTGAATAATTATTAATCCTTCATTTTGATGTATTTTATGGACGATCTTGAAAGGTTAAAATATGAGATTATATAAATTTATGTGTAATTGATGGATTTTTTCAGAAATTAAGAAAAAAAAAACTGTTTTACCCAATTGACGCTGAGCGGAAGCTGCCGCGCAAGTTGTCTTTGTCTATTATAGAGCTAATTAGTATTTTAGGAATAACGTGTCCAAATATGAAAACATCGAGCATTCATACGAAGTCGAAATGTATTAAACATCTGCAATATTATTTTAAACCTACGTGAAATTATTAGTCGGGCTTAGTGAATTCTGCCCTTCGTCGTCAAAAACAAAAAAAAAAAAAACAAAAAAAAACTTATTTGATATTTCATATTGATTTGATAAGACACTCAACGCACGTTCCATTTAATTATCATCTGACGCCCCATTGAGCGCTGTTTTTACTTTATTTTTCTTATCGATACAATTTTCACCCCTTTCACTGCCCATGAGAATAAGTAATCTCCTTGCGTGTTCGTGACCATGCAATCCTCGCCAATCCGTTCTCCCAATTCATTGGCGCTCAATTGTTTTAATCTTTTTCCAATTTCCCCCGATACTATGGTGAATATTTTGTTTACCACTTGGATTGTTCGTTTCTTTTGGTTTTTTTTTTTTTTTTTTTTTTTTTTTTTTTTTTTTTTGTTTCTTTGTTTTTATTACGATAAAGGGCTCTTCGAAATTTTAATAGCCCCAGGTAAACTCGGTACTTACTATATGATTTCAAATATACTTATCGTAGTCATATAACTTGTAATAGTTTAAGAAGAGAGACTGTTAGAGAAAGCTTTATTCCTTCGGAAATTCAATTAACAATCTTCTATTTTCTCTTTCCATCCAAAAAAATTACCGATACTTGTTACTTCACAATTATGCAAATCATTTTTGTGTAATTACGCAAAAATCAATGCTCGCGCTTCTATTACCTACCTGACGACAAGTAACAAAGCATTTATTTTCAAATTTTTTAAAATTTTTCAGCGCTAGTTCAGAATTTTTAATTTCATGTTAAAAGTCGTCATCCATATTTTACAAAAACGCCAAGTTTCCATCCTCTATGAGTGACAGAAAAGAAAATATTCGTATTTTGTTTCTTACGAATAACAAACGTATGTGACATGCAATGCTTTAATTAAACGGTAAAAAATTAATGTCAACGTTAATCGTAACTTTATTATTGTTAAATTTATCTTATAAATATAAATATCTCTAAATAAAATATTCAAAAATAAATATTATAGGAACAGATATTTTCGTCCATTTTTTTTTTATATTTTTTATTTATTTTTTATAATCTTCGTTTCCACTGTAATATGTTTTATATTTAATTTCCAAATTTAGAAAGCCATTTTAATATAAACCTATTTAATAAGTGTAACTAGCTAATGCAAAATAATAATATAGTTATGAAAGCATTAACTTATTAAAAGCTTCGATAGTTATGGATATGGTGCATTTGCTTTTGAATGCAAAATATAAATTTACATCAAATCACAAAATTATGTAAATAAAAACGACACTGCTTTGTTAGTATATATATTTATATTTATCTATCGATTTAAATGTCAATTCCGCATTTTCTTTATATAAAGCAATAGTTGAATTAATTACTATATTGAAAAATAATTAATAATAAATTAAATTAGTTAATTTTTATATCGGAATAAAAATACATTTATATATCCATTCTAATGTATATGTAAATGTAAATACAAAAACTTAATATCTAAATTCATATTTTGTATTTTATTGGCGCATTAAAACTGTTCCATTCCGTCGGTTTAATATCTATTTAAGATTTCCATTTAATTGTCAAATAATAATTAGAGTCAGTAATTTTTAAGCTTTTTATTGGTATTGTTAAATATAACTAACAAAAAAATTTTAAACATGCACTCGAATTTTATGAATATAATGAAATATTTAACGATTCTATTAATAAGGAAATTATATTCAAAATTTCCGGCACTTTGAACAATTATGTAATACAATTTTTCCTATAGAGTTCTAGCCTATGATGAAAAATATATTAACCAATTCATTTTCTAACCTTCACTAACTTCTAATTCCAATGGTATTATAAATTAAGCAAAAATTGATTTTGCGAAGTAAATTCGCCATTAAATTGCATTTAATCAAAAACAAAAACAAAAAAAAAACAAAAAAAAAAAAATATTTAATAAAATATTAAATGTCCTGAAAAATAGTGAAAATTATATTTTGACCCGCGAACGTGTCTATTATTTTGTACATCTGACGTAAGTTGCAAAACCGAAAATTGTTAAACGAGTCGTCAATTGTACATCAAACGCTTGCTTCGCAATTTCAAGCATTTCTTCGTGTAGTTTCTTTTATCTTTTTCTCTTTTTTTTTTTATTTTATTCCCCCCCCCCTCTCACACATGCCACATCCTCTTCCGCCGAACTGTGGAGTTAAAATATTAGAAAAAAAGGAGGAAAGGGATTGAATTTAGTAGGTGCGGGGTGTAGTAGTGATCACTATACCTACTCTATCGGTGTTGGTTTTTCTCTTTGAGCGGGATTCGCACAATGCTAGAAAGCCCGTATTCTTCTTTCTCTCTCTTTTCTATGTCCTATAAACAGTGAAGCGCTCACGCACGCGGGAGAACAACACGACGCCCGACGGCTATCGGCCTTGAGAGAGGGCCAGCGAACTTTGACCTGCTGATTTAAGGTTGGCTTTTAAATGGGTTGCCGCTTTTGTTGTTGCTGTTTCGTTTTTGCTCCTTTGTCTTTGTTTGTTTTTGTTTATGTCCGCATTCAACTAATAGCATGAATGATATCTATAACCTATCTCGAGTTTGCCTGCCTATCCTGCTTTACTTTCACGCGCTTTTATTAACACCATTAGCTCTTCTCTTGCTTGTTATTTATACACTTGTATATGTACTGTATTTAATCTGTGAATTGTAGAGAAAAAATATTTACAAATCTTTACCGTCCCTTTGCGATTGGTTGTATTTTATTGTAGGAAACGAGCGTTGCTGCAAAAAAAAAAAGAAGATGTTTATTGGATTGTTTGAATTTACAATATTAGGTAGTCTCATGTTCAGAGACAACGTTCGATTTCAACATTAACATCTAGTTTAACAACCATTATTATTATTATTATTATTAGCAAAATTATTTCCGAAATTTCAATTTTACTTTTTGAAACATTGGAGCTTTGTTTTTACTATAATGTTATAAGTAGAGCAAATTTACAAATACAAAAATAGAAGAATTTCGGAATGATTATAAATAACATCTTCTGTCTATTATTTATTATAAACAATTATGAGGAATAAGGATTAATTAGGCAAAGAAATATTCATCGTCAAGCTGAATGTTAGCCAAGTAACTGTCATAATAATAATCATTTACTTTAATTTATTTCTCGAAGAATTATGTCGCAAACGTAATTTTACGTGTGAAAATTATTTAATTTGTCATAATGGAACGTCATATTTCATGAATTATTATTTTGTAATTCTGTTACTTTGTTTATACGAGGAGTCAAATGTCAAGAACATAAATAATATATAAATATTATTTTTATCGAAAACAATTCGTATCATCAGACGTAAACTTAACTCATACAAAACTTCCTAAAGTTCCTTCGTTTTTTCGTCCAGCGACAATACTATCTGTTTCTCAACTTAAGTAACGTCGCGATCGAATAAGTATCTCGTGTGAAATAGTACATTCGGCAGAGCGTTTCTCAAATACTAATGTGTGATATATATCATCTACTTCAAACTTACTGGCAAGTGTCGAATGCATCGAGAAGTAAATGGAATCTATAAATCAAAAGTCCCCATCAACGAAGAATACGTAAGCGTAGTGAATTGCTTATACGGTTAACCGGTGAATCTGCACACCTAATCAACATTAATCATTTATACGCCTGGCCGCTCGATCGGCACAAATACACATACATATTAGTGCCAAATAATTGAAGCAGAGTTAAAGGGTAAACAGTGTCGTCCGTATAACTTATCGATGATTGGTTATTTTGCGGTCGGTCATCGCTTTATGGAGATCAAATTATTAACGGGTTGATGATTACAAATGCCGCCTACGTGATTTTCAATCTCACATTTCCCAAGTGGAAGTTCATTTTTTTCGAAGCCACTCAATTTCAGGTCCAGCTCTGATTACCGATAAATATTTCCGTTTAATATTTTTCATTCGGGATATTGATTAACGACTAGGCCGCTTTATTAAAGAGGCGAAGAAGGTAAAGAGATAATTTTTCATGCTTCGCGATGTGTCTACGTTCCATTTCGAAATTATTTCGATTATCGCCAATAGAATTGCTCTTATAAATCTACATATATGAAAAACATCCTTTATACATAATAAAATTGTATGCGAGGGGATTTGTAATACATTTGTTCGGATTGTTCTTATCTTCTTATCTTAATGTTCAGCTTTGGTTAGTATATTTACATTAGATTTTAAAGTTATGAAAAAATTTCGTGAAAAAGATTTTTATACATAAATGGCTCTATTTCAAGCTTTTAAAATTAAAAGGGTATAAAAATTTATACGATTTATATTATAATAAATTAATCATATTGGGTTAAGAATGAGCACGTAATTAAACTGTGGCTTAATTCAGGCTTAAGCAAATAGTAATTGAAAAATTATTTTATGAAAGGTTCTTTATTTTATAAAATATTCGTATTTCAACTAATTTTTAAAAAAATAATTTAATTAAATATTTTTATCGAAGTGTTAATATATTTTTAATTTTTTTCCTATAAATTGTTAATTAATATTGCTTAAACTGGTTAATTCGATATCTGCTACATTCTTTTGATTAATTCATTTTGATTAAAATTATGAAACACGTATCTTTGTTTATACTTGGAATAATAAACAATCGGTATATTGTAAAATAAATACAATAATAAAGTCATTATTGTATGAACACACACACATACACATATATGTATATAATTTTATTTTGTTATCGAAAATAATTTTTGTTTTGAATTGAAAATATTGAAATATTAAAATCTTCTATATTTGCTCAATTATCGAGTACTTATGCAGAATTTATGAGTAATTGAAAAGCTAAAATTATAAATAAATAAAAGAAAGTATAATAAAAGAAAATTAATTAAACGATGCAAAGTATTTTGCATTCTTTATGATTTTTAAAAATGTGATAAATTGAGCATCGGACAATATAGAGAGAAAAGTCCAGTATTAATGTCCGATTCAAAGCGCATGAATTTTCTTTTATCAATAATAATGCAATTCGATTACGTTGATGTCAATTTCTTTTTATTATATATTATAATGATTCACTTGCACACGCATATTCTACGACAGAGAAAAATTAAACTTTGGTAAACAGTGTTAACTTGTTTTTCTATTATGCAGTAATATTAAGAACATTATTCTTTTTAATAATAAATTGTTTTCCACTAATTGTCGAAATATAGTATGTAAATAAATAACTAAAAGTGTAAATTGATATGAAATGATAAAATTCGTATTTATTATCTAATTTTATATTAATTTGTTAAAGCGGAATACGTATGTCGTACTGAATAAATTATTCCCATTTAATTCTTTCAGAATAGTAATCTCAACGATCGATTGATTTCAAATAAATTTCAAAATTATTTTAACTTACCGTTTTATTTATCGATGCTCATAAATCTATTAAGTATGAATGCACATATCGCACACTAAAACTTGAAGATGAAGATAATAGTTACAAAAATGAAATCCTTGATAAAAAAAATATCTGGCAACGAACTTCCGCGTCTTGTGTATAATATAAAAAAAAAATGTACTCATTCAGTTATGAAATAAATAGCGATTGATTAATTAATCGATTCGTCAATAAGTAATTTCGTAGTAAAGATTAAAATTTTTCCGTCTTGAATGTTCAAAAGAATTTTTATCTTTTAAATAAATAAGTATTTTCATCATTCGCACAAAAATTTTAGTTGCAATTCTTTATCACTTTAATTGTTTAATTCTAATAATTTTTTAATTAACACATTAATAATATCGTTTCTGAATCTTCCTGAATCTTGTTTATTTTTCATTCAAATTATCGTTCTTCGTTTACCTTTATTTTTACATTTAATAAACATATTTTAATGACGGAAAATCATTTTTATATTGAATTAGTTGATTTTAATAGTTAATTAGTTAATACTTGAAAGTAGAATAAGATATTATATAGCCGATAAGATGTTTTTACATAAAGTTGACAAATTTATAAAAACAAAACTATAAGACGTAATATAAAAGTACGTATTTTGAGTGTAAATAAAATTATCTTTAGTATGTACGTTAGATCTATTTTTTAGACAAGGATAAACAAAGTGTAGACGATGAAAATTCGATGTTAATCTGGAACGCCCCGAAGCAGATAATGTTTTAATAGCCGCAGTTGGGGAAAATGGATTTTCATTTCAACATGAATAAATTGAATGCTTAATGGATCTATACATTACTTATTGATATATTTCTTTTGAGTTCATTTAAGAATATGATAACTCTTTACTTTTATTTTTTATTTTCTTTTATCTGTATCGAATTTATGCAACTGGTGGTAATTGATTAGTATTTTAATGATTTTTTACAAATTGAATATCGGTCCCTCACGATACTTTAAATATGAAAATAAATACTTGATGATATTTATTAGTCGCTAAGTTTAAATAGCAATTAGACGTAATCCTATATATGCATGAATACTTTTTTATTTAAACTTCTTCGTAATATTTTTTTGAAATTATGTAGAAAAATCCAATAATATTTGTATATTTATAAGTCCGTATTATACATTATATATTAACTATATTCATAAGATTTTCTTTTCTTTTCGATGCCACTACCGAACTGTACATATAATTCTCATCGTAATGACTGATTTAGGTAATGTCAGTACAATAATGATTTTACGTATGTATAGTTCTCAATTTGCATGAAACTGTGAATTGAAAAAAATATGCATGAATACTTTATTCTGTTTTAATAATTACCACTGTAAAATAGTACTCTGGTAATAATTAAAATTATAGCTAATCAATTATTTTTCAGAATTTGTTACCTCTTGTAACTTTTGTAACAATGCATGCAAAATTATACTGGGTATATATATATATATATATATATATATATATATATATATATATATAGTGTAATCAAAATTGAATTGACCTTTTCTAAATAATGGTATTCTATTTATTAAAATGAATGCATTGTTAAAACACATTTGGTAATATATTTGTATATAAAGAAAAGCCGAAGGATAGATAATGCCGTGCCAATTTCTTTGTCATCGTACAAACCACAATATATCGCTTGTCCAATGAAATGTTCTTGTTGTTTGCTTAATTGTTATAGTGCGTAGAACACTGAAGAATGGTCTCTCGGAAGAGGAGAAGAAGCACATCGCTGCCTACATCAAGGGCTACTGACTGTGATAAGAAGAAAATGAATAATAGAATGGAAAATCCAGCCGAAGACTATGCAACGCCATTACCCTCGTAGGCAGGTATTTTCAACTCCCTCTCGCACCGAAAACTAACCATGACGTCGCCGAAAAGAAAACTCGACGTAGATGTGCATGCGATACGAGAAGAAGAAAAATTTGAGACTCCCAATGGAAATTTCACGCACTTTCTCCGCCTCGCGCCACCTAAAATATCCCGAACTTACTATAATTACGTATATTTTAATTGAATCGCTCATAATATTTTTATCGTCCTTTTGTTATTATTATTTATTTTTTTCTTTTGCTCTCGATGTTACCGTAATTTTTCGGCGTCTTCGCTTTTATTTTCATTGTCATCACTTTATTAAAAAGAAATGAATTTAAAGAAAATCTACGTCATATCTTTCGCAGTGACGTGAAAATGCTGCTCAGTATGGTTTATTACTAAATTCTTGCAATGAAATAAATGAATACGTTATATTCGTCTCCTTTCTTTATCCGTAATTGTAGGATAATTGTATACGATATGAAGGACATAAGTAACTATGGAGGTTTTTTATATTGTAAAGTCGCAGTAACCAATTGGTACATTGAAATACATGTGCACTATGTTTTTTTGACAAGTTGATCGATGTGCATTTTCAATTTTCTTTTATTAGTTTCTAGCTGATGACATTGTAATCAGTATTAAAGTGTATGAAAAATGAACCTTTTAAACGGATTTTTAAATACTTTTTAAAATAATTACGACAATGGCTAATTTATAGCAAGTTTTATCGTTAAAAGCTCTGTTTATTTAAATCTATATAAATGATTTTTGAAAAACGTAGCTGGTAATTTCTTAGTTTTAAACGGTGCTGAACAAGTATTTTCAGCCAAGATAGGAAAGCGCTGCGAAAGGAGAGAAGAAATATAATAGTCACTAGTTAAAAAAAAAAAAAAAAAAAAAAAAAAAAAAAAAAAAGAGAGAGAGAGAGAGAGAGAAAAAATAAATAAACGTGAACTTTGAATATAGTTACTATTATGAAAACCAAATAGTGTTGCACGATTTCTCTAAAAGCACTTTAGCGAGATCGTTGAGGTGTTATTAACGTCGTATGTGTGTCTAATTGCTTTATCTTTTCCTTAGTTCTTCAGTAACGAAAGAACCGATGAAATATTTGGTGACAAAGAACATTGATAAAAGAATATTAAGATAAGATAGATCATACATAAATTATTGTAACGACTAGTCTTACGTTAGCCTTGCATATATTGTACTCGTTCGAATGTTGATTAAGCAATAAGAAAATGGACGAAGAAAGCGGTTAAAGATAAATCTTCTTTTACGCGCGTTTACAATGTGATCGACAGACTGTGCATTATATTATATATATACAGTGCATATATATTTATATCGGACGAGTTAAACGTCAAATCGAAGCCTAATAAACAATATTACGAGCTTCCTATATTCAAAAAAGAAAAGCACTATATTGAAATATTTACAAAAAAATAGTACATAATTTATATTTCTATTATGTATGTATATATATATATATATATTTATATATACATATAATAGAAAATTTACAATAGATTTTTTAAAATATTTTTCAAAAAAAATTTTTGATTTGAAAAAATTATTTTTTTTATGGTCAAATACTATTTATTGCAGACGTGAGAAAAATCTTATAACAAAAATTATATATTTGAACTGAGAAAAAATAATGATTAAAACTTAACTGAAAAAGCTTTTATACATAAAGAATAATGAATGTGATTTGTATAGGCAATTAAATATTGTCAGATTTCTTTAGAAAGTAAATTTCATGTACTTTTGGGACATATTCTCTAAATCATTTGAAAACAGATCACACACGTGCACACACGCGCGCACGCACACGCACACACACACACACACACACACACACACACATTAATAATAAAATATACAAAATAATTTTTTTGGCCAGTGAAACATATTCATAGGGACCTCACGTGCCTCTTCATCTTTTCTTATCATTATTTCGACGTTATATATTCACAAACATTATTCTAAAGCAACAAAACTGTACCTTTTTCGATCAATCCGCCTAAAAAGCAATTATTTCTTTGGTAGTGTATAGGGAACGCATTAGTGAATAGAACAAATTAAGCTTTCACGATGATATAAATTATCGAAAGAACAAGCGACAGTTGTAGCTAAATTCGAATTTTCTAAGTCCATGAATTTTTCTCGCGGTGAAAACGACGATTAATAATGTTAAATATTAATTTCGTGCGCAAGCACTACTTTAGCTGACTCAGCTGCTATGAAGAACCAAGAAATGAAGAATATTGTAAGATTAAGTAAGTCGGTTGTAGAAATAAAATATTGTGCAACATTACAAGAAAGTGATTGATACAATAAAGAACTGAAAATATATGCCTTTACATTTTATGTTTTTATCAATAATAATTGATCCCATCGTCTCCTTATTCAGTTATTCAGTCAAGTAAATTAGTTTCGGTAAGTTTTCATTATCGATGCCTTTCTATTCTTTATATCTTCCATTATTATAATTAATAATTATATATATTAAAAAAAAAAAACCTGTTACTAATTTATCTTATCTCTCATTTTATTTCATTGTACTTTTTAAAATTTTAAATTAATAATTTTAAATCTATATTTTTTATACTTAACGAATTGAATAAAATTATACTAATAAAATACTAAATTAAAAAAACTATCTATTAATATTATAAGTAACAATAATAATTTAGGAAGAATATATTATCTAGATTATTTTTTAATTACTAGTATTAATTTGAGAAAAAATTGGACAATTTAGTAACTTATTTCCATTTATTAATTTATCAATTTTTTATTTTAAATATCATAAATGTTATAAACATCAATTTGTTTATATTATTAGATCGTAATATTAAATATTATATAAAACTATTCAATTATCAGTATTGATAATCGACATTAAATGATTATTATTCTATGGGTATTATTAAGTTTAAGTTACTTATTTATATCAAAAAGAATGTGAAATTTATTTTAAATGTATTGTTTTAGTATGTGAATCTTGAAAAATATTTATTAAATTTTCAAATCCGTCTATCCAACAATTTAAATTAAATAAACAAATAACAGTCGAAATTGCGGAAAGAAAGGTAGGTAAAGATTTTTTAGAAGTTAATTAATGAAATTTTGAAAAATATCTATCAGTATCTGTTACAATTTAAAGCTATATCATTGTTTTTCTGATTTACCACAAATTTGCTTTAATTTTTATTTTATAGTGACAAAACAATTTATATTCTATAAGAAGTACTTAAATGGGAAAAGTATTTAAAATTAAGTATAAACAGTAAATTAAAAAGGATATACTAGCAATGAGGAAAAACTAAATAAATTACGTTACATTCGTATGTAACGAAGTCTGCATAATAAGTAATTGACTCGTAATTATTTTTCCATTAACCAAATTATATTTTAATAATTCTGATAAGCTTGTATTATCTCAAGTAAAAATATTAATTGTTAAAAGACGTCAGTGGCCATGATTACAAATATGCATTAAATTAATGGAGATAACTGTGAGAGTAATTTAAAATTCAGCGTATTTAACAATTGAACAATTAATAAAAAATAGCACAGGAAGTTCCTAATGCACAATGAAGATATGAGAATATTTTTATATTCTAAACATTCTATTTACAAAATTGAAGTTCAAATGTCCAAAAATTCCACGGAACTAGGATAATGTAACAGAATGCTGGTGACAAATGTATCAAAAATGCCATTCGGGTAATCCATTGCCCTAGAGTAATCCATTTTTGTAGATAAATGGATATTTCAAAAGCAGTTGAGATAAACGTGTATGTGAATCTAAAGTAAAAGTTAAGTAACAAAGTTTGTTATTGATACCCTTCGAATGAACAGAAATATTCTAATTTTAACCAAATTCAAATAACTAAAATCTATATAGAAATTCGTTTTCAAGATATCAAGCAAATAATAATAAAAAATTGTACATCTTATAGATTTAGATAATTTATTTAATTCATCAATAATTTCTATTTAGATCTTTATTCTCTACAAAAAGTAGATGTTTTTCGTACGAAAATTGACATAAATAATTACGTGGATTTCAATATCTGCGGTGAGATTTATTATATTTATTTATTTATTATATTTGCTTTAAATTATCCAACTTTTAATTATACTTAGTATTATAAAGTGTTATAATTATAAGTTATGATGAATTTTTTCACATTTTTAAAATTGCCTCGTTTGGCATGTATCCGCTTAATTTATTAGTTATAAACTTAAAAACACATAAAAATATTTACAATCTTCAACGCATAATAAACATATCAATAGCAACAAGACAGCAATATCATATATATATATATGTAATAATAAACGGGATAATTTTAACAATTAAGTAAATAAATATTTATTTATTGTATTTGATTATTATAGGAATTGTTTATGAAATAATAAAGACTCGTTATAACAAAATGTGCTAGAGATGCACGATTTATTAACCTTCGTCCAGCTTTAACAACATACAATATAATGTGGTAATAAAAACGCATAATTTTACATTAATAATGCTCGCAACGAGTGTGATATCAATTCTTTATAGCTTCTCTCATCCGACCATTTTTCAATAAATTCACTTTCAAAATTGATTCACCATTGACTTACTGGCATTCATAGATTTACGATTCTGGTTTTTACTATGTTATACTTTGATATAGTAAGTGCAAAGAACCGAAGAACATCTTCGAAGAAGCGCAATAGGCAAAACGTAATTTCCAAGAGAAAAATGCAACAAGTATATAATATATATGTATATATGTATAAGCATTTATGTGTATATATATATATGTATATATATATATATATATATATATATATATAATTCATCATTTTCAAATAAAAAAAGCTCTTTACATGAAAAACATTATCAATATGAAACAAACAATCGATCAATAAAAGTTTTATATAAAAATTTGACGCTAAACATTGGCCTAAGATATAAAATTTCAGTTCCCTCTAAAATGTTATAAACTTTTATAAAAACGACTTCTATGGCTGAATGTACGCGAAATTGAAAACTGAAAAATACATCGTGGAAAAATCCTTAATTTAAAGGATAGACACGTGTTGTATCCCGCATGATAAGTACTCCCGAATCTACAACATACTTTTTTTTATATACCTTTATGTATTTTTCTTTCTTTCTTTCTATCTTTCTTTCTATCTATTTTTCTTTCTTTCTTTCATTAATTCTCCCTTTCGTTATACATATATTCGAGTAAAAAATTCATTCGCTTTCATTAATCTCCCTTTCGTTATACATATATTCGAGTAAAAAATTCATTCGCACTCATTTTCTCATTTTCTCTTTCTTACAGTCTTGTCTCGCTTTATTTCTCTCTCACGTAACACGGATGATGCTTGGGATCACTTTACACTTGAAGAGTCAGAGGATCACAGTGCACGTGAATATCTGGTTTTTTTTTCTGCGAGCGTATATGTCTGTTCGCTAATGTGCGTACATACGGGTGTGTGCGCGCGGGTGTGTATGATGTGAGTACAAGTTTTTTGTTCATGCCCGTATTCTAGTTTTTTTTACTCTCTATTTCGTGCAACGGTCGCGTAGTGCACTGGATCGTCGGAATGTCGCTTCTCAAAAACAAAAAAAAAACAAAAAACAAAAAACAAAAAAATGAGAGGATCAAGGTTAGCTCGATTTTTAACGAATTCTTATGCCCTCTGGGTTCCGGTCATTTCCAGCACTTTATAATCGTTACTCTTTTATCATTCGTTGGCCTTTGTTTACGTATGTGTGCGAATCGATAAAAGTTCATAAGAATAGTTGATCCTGAGATTAGACAAACTTCACGATCGCTCGAGCGAGAAGCTTAATGATAAAGCAAGCAGGATAAGGTATATTTACTAATGTCAATCAAGATAAACATTAATACAGTGCAAAAGAAATTATTGAAAAATGTTAAAAGAATTTTGCCTCTGTTACATTACTAACGTAAAATTCAAGTCAGATTTGAAGAATTATGCAGTTTTCAAATGACGTAAGCTTTAAAATGATCGTCCAAAAGCTTCCACTATTAAGTTACATCGGTATATGCATGAACGACTTGATTATTGATATACAAGATTCAAAACCGAAGCCTGAAAAGGATTATCTTAAAAAGCGGCCTCAACGAACTTGAGACTGTTACGCTCATTGAACTAGGATAAATGAATTATGGAAGAAAATAGTTTTCCAAACAGAAAAGAAGATTGATTGTTTTCGTGGTGGTTAACTTTTATCGCCGTAACCGCCAAACGCGTATGCGCGTGCGTTAATCTGTGTTAGTGGGCGTGTGAGCGTGTGGTTGCAGCAGCGGCTGAAGGCGAGGGTATGGGGCGATAACGTATCCGCGCGTGTATGTGGGTGGCGTGTGTGTGTGTGTGTGTGTGCATCCGTCTGTTTGTATAGAATCGCGTGGGCGTGTGGGTGTTGTGATTGGTGGCTGAATGATCTAGGCGAAATGAGCTTTTCACAGTTCGTCGTGCTTCGGTCCGCTAAACTCCTCGTGGGAAATGAAGCCGTTCTTGTCCTTGTCCTCGTGCTGGAAAATTTCCTCCACGAGCTTATCCTGATCGGCCAACATCTTCTTCATTTCCTCGCTCTCGCCGGCGCCTGATTGCTCGGCCTCCTGCATCTGCTTCCTCAGGTATTCGCTGACCTATGTAAGGGACACAGAAAAATATTGTTCGCTCGTGAGATACGATTCAACATTCCTCATGTTGGCATTTACGTGCAAATCATTTATTCCTCTAGACATTTACCAAATACTATTTTATTTATACCGTTTTTATACGTTATCGTTAAAAACCTTAATTGCATAGTGACGCAAGTTATTTTAGTGAAGGCACAAACTCGTTAATATTAGTCATTCTTGGATACTCATAATTTGTTGGAAACAAGTTACTTACTAAAGAGTCAATAATCTAGATTTTTCTCTACTCTTTATTATATACTTGAAGGTGCAATTTACGTTTAAAAAGTCGTTATTTACTATTGATATAATCCATTAATGATCAATAGTTATACAAATTAGATCGATTAAAGTTTTTATAAACGATGTTATAATTTTTATATATATTTTTTTTTTTTCATTTATTAAGTTGTAAAATATAATTGTGAAAATTTATTTTATTCATAACATTGAAAATTTAATTTATATCTTTGCAAAATTATAAAACAAAATTGACAACAACGGTCACAAATTAAAATTTTTAATCTATCATTAAACAATACTAGTTTAAGTGATGAACTACAAATTATAATGAAGCATTATTTTTATTTTAAATTTCAATTTTATTACGTGAATGAATAAAAAACAATCTTTAGTTAAAAAAGAAATTTGAAATATATTTAAAAATCCTAATTAATCCATATTTTTCGTTTGTCGATAATATAAGTACAATAATACCTTGTTGAAAAGATAAAAATTTGTTTTAACAAATTTCAACGATTAGTCTCGTTATTTTTCTTTGTAAATAATTGCATAGTGAAATATAAATATCATTATGACAAAAAATGAAAACAAATAATTCTAAAAATATTGCAATACATTCTCTTTTAAAATCTTCTGTATTTAAACATAAAAGTATCGTTCTTTTTTTCACCAATATTTTTCAAGGGTCGATATCTTATAGAACATCTTTTGTATAAAACGATTATTAAGTTATTATTTTATCATTGATAATTTATAACTTTTATATACACCTAATTTAGATCGATACATTGTCTACAATATTATATGCATGCATATTAACAAAGTAATTAACTACAATTAATTGTTAGTAATATTTTATAAAATATTTTGTAAATACGTTTGAAAATTTGGAAATATTTTGTATAAAAGATGTTTACATGATAGTACAACCGACACCGATTGACCCCAGAAAATAAAATAAATTAAAAAAAGAACGATTCTTGCCATTGTTCTCACCTCCTCGCGGGATAATTGATTGTCCTTATCGGCATCAATTTCTTTAAAAACATTGGCATTTGGTGGAGAATCACTAATATTGATCAATTCAACATCGAAATGCAGAGTGGCTCCTGTAAATAAATGAAAAAAAAAAAATAAAAAATACACACATACACAATTAAATAGTATTTATTTCATGTTAAACATAATAGATAATGAAGATATAGATATTAGGCAAATTAAAGAATTTTTGTATATTTACATTAGTTTTACTATTTAATAAAAGTACCTATACTTATAAGTTATTAGTTGCAATTATTGTTTAAAGATGAATTTGAAAATCGACTGAAATTTAAATATTAATGGAAGTATACAAGTATTTTAATTATCTGAATTGTATATTTAGCTTTCCTTTTAATAATTAGATATAACTAATAATCTTAATATTTGATAATAATATCTTTTTATTTATAATACGACGCAATTCAAATTGTAATAAATATGTATTAAACGGAAACTCATAAAATATCTTAAATTTGATAAATTTGCAAAAATTTATTGAGACTAAGGTTTGCGAATATAAATGATTAAAATTTGATTAATTGTTTCTTTCATTTCAATATTGTCATTTTTAATCGGTCCAAGTAACTATCGAATAAAAAATTATTTAATATTTATATAATATCGAGTGATAATATTAAGATTTATATTTTAATTTATCTCGAATTTCCAATCCATATTCCAGTAAAATCATAACACTATTATAAATCCTAAATTCACATTACATAAATTATTTATAATAGTTTATTTATTTGCTTTAGCAATTGTAATGAATTTTGTATTATTGGTAGTGAAAAATTATTACTTTCTAAGATTTCCTAAAGTAAACCGAGTAAATATAATTATATGATCAATAAATAAATATAAATTTAATATTAATATATAATATTGTAAATATGCAATATCATAAATTTATAACTTGGATTACCGTAGACTTTATTATAAAATGAAATGTTTATTATGTCTGCTCATTGAAATTCTTTAATTAAATACATACTATAGATATATATATATATATTTATACGGAATCATGATATTTAAATGAAAATTATAAAGAAAGAAAACTAGAGAAAATAATCGTACTTTACTCTTTTCTCCTATTTAATCCTTCTCTTTATCAGAAATTTCTGCAGTTGATTATTTAAATTTCACATGTACTTTTTCACATATCCATTTCAGGATTCATTGAAGTTAAAATTAACCGATAATAGTAAAATTATTGTTTTATAAACTATATTATATAAATTTTCAATTTTGCAATGCATTGCCATCGGTTATTCTGTTAGTTTTTTAGAGTTTTATATATAATTTTATATAATTATAAAATAACTGAAGAAAATATATTGTAACCTCCTAATATAGTAGTAAGTACTAAGATATTTATAAATATTAATCCGTTTAAAGTTTCCCCTTTATTAAATGCTTTCCGAGTATACATACCTTATAATTGCTTCCCTATAGTTTAAATAAATAAAATCAGTGATGCCTTAAGGATTAAAAAAAAAATTATATTTGAATTCTTTATAGTAATTGAAATAAAACATCCTACCCATGTAAATATAATTTAACTCTTTCATAACGTTTGAAAAATATTTCCTGTCCAAATACTTTTTGAATTTTCCGTTTTTTTTTTTTTCTTTAGATAGCGATGACAGCTACGATCAGTTATTAAGAATCCTAATTTCTAAGCAATATCGAGGAGCTCTTAATAGCGTAACGTAAAATTTCAAAAAGCAAAACGCTGGCTCGTGTGGAGAAAATCATTTGCCTTCTCAGTATGGAATAATTTGTTGGATATGTAATATAATTTCCTCCAACACCCTTGGCAATTAAAAACGTTAGAGCGCGTTGCAGCTCGACGTGAAAAATTCGTTGTATCACCTCTCTCCCTTTCCCATGCCAGTACCGCGATGCGAGAAGGATCCATTAATTATGTGGGCGGGCCGGCCGCTTTGGTACAAGGCGACTGAACACCAACGCTAATGAAATATTGTTCGCTTAATTATTGGACGTTTAAACGAATGGAATTAATACTCGGGATATAAGGAGACAGCTCTATGTGTTTTCAACTCCAACTCACTTCCAGCCCCTACGACCTCTGTCACCAACAAGGATATACACCATTTAAGATATATTTGCAAGGCAAACCGAAACGTTAAACAAAACTAGCCTACGGACATATTCCTACTGAGCGATATTCTATTATTTATTAATGTTGCCATTGAAGTTTAATCGATCTTTTATTTTATTTATTTATTATTATTATTATTATTATTATTATTTTTTTTTTTTAATTAATTAAATAGCTTTGGATAAAATTATACGGAGGTCGAACAAAAAGTTTATACTTTCTAAGTGAAAGTTGAACTGAAAAGTAGAAATAATATAATTATCATTAATCGAGTATCCGGATTTAAAAATTTTTCACTAGAGGTTGAACTTAACTAAGTGATTTACTATTTAATTTCACAAGTTTTTATGGCAACTTTTTTTTTATTATTTTCGCATAGCAGGCATATTATGTTCATTAAAACAGAGAATGGATAAAAGTTTCTTATTAAATGTATAAATCCGATTTGCCAAAAATTGACAGCCATGTTCATTCTATAATGTAGAGTATTAATTAAGTTGAGATTCCATTCTGCGAGAATGGTAATCTTTATTTAAGAAAAAAATTTTGTCTACTAATTGAAGATCAAATGACTTGCAGTAGAGTCTAATAACTAATACCTTTGATGCGCTAAATCATTATTTAATTAGTAGATAACTATGATGAGTTATATAATGATATCCGATGACTTTCATTAAGTAGATTGTGTTCAGATAGATAAGTCTTGAAATATTCTCATCATTATTATTATTATAAAAATTTTAAGTTACATTTAAATATGTATTGATACCCATCATTAGTTTTTAATATTAATAATAATTTATAATCTGTTATGAATTGTTCGTTATTATAATGCAGAGCCTTTGTTTGCATGGCGTTTGTTGAAAATTTTATTTTATATAAAGTTTTATAATTAATTATACATATATAGAATGGCATTATATCATTGGAAAAATTTAATTATTAGGCATTGTATTCATCAAACGTAAATGATAAATGTTTATTATAAAATTCTCATGATTATCTAACTCGCAGTTATTAATTGTAAAGTACATTTCAATATTTTCTTATTTAAAGTATGTACTTTGTATAATCAAGATACTTATGCAATAATATTTATATCATACGAGCTTGTAATTAAAGAAAAATTATGTTTAGTATTCTGTTATTCTATTTATAAAAAAAAAAAAAAAAAAAAAAAAAAAAAAAAAAAAAAAAAAAAAAATCTAATCAAAAATACGTATGGCTTTAATTATTTAATGGACTCATATTAACTCTGCCCATATAATTTAAGGTTCAAAATGAATTTCACAAATTAAAATCATTTGCTTAATATTCAGCAGTAGTAATGAAAGCATAAAAATATAATAAAAAAAGTTTTCTGTTTGAAAGAAGCTTGAGATCTTGTATTTTAAGGAAATGTAGAAAAAACATATGAGTAGTAACATGCATTATATTGAATTTTCAACACAAAAGGCTTAAAAGTGTATTTTAAAATTAGTTCAATCAAAGTTCATCGATAACGTTCAATCGACAATTAACATTTCATAAATTCACTGCCATTGATTAAAAAGAAAAAAAGAAAAGAGAGAGCATATTAAAATCTACCTTCGTTGTGCTTCATCGTTTCTCTTTAATATAATCTCCATAAACATTTAAGCGAATATATTATTGCGATTGAGCAACTATTAAAACGGGCTTGAAACAATTTCGCACGATTTTCGAATTTCTTTAACATTTATTTCTAACGAATGTGTTGATGTGGAATCGCAGATCCGAATTTAAGTTCGCGTGGCAACCACAGCGTAAACCAACAGGCTTCACGCACAATTGTCCAATCACACGTTTCGAGTGCTTATTATATTTTTATTTGAACAAAGCCGCAGTCTCTAATCGCAGCTGCCAGTTTACATTACGGACGATCGGACATTTTGGGAAAGCATTTCTCCGGACTCGATTCGTGTGATTCCTACAGTATATGCGGTACGATTAAATAAAGTCGCTCGGATTTCGTGGGAATAGCATATTGTATTCATGTCATAACATTTGCGTTCGTAGCAAATTTTTTTATTTTCCATTCCGAATGTCATTTTTTAAGGATTACAAATTATTTATAATAAATTATTTAAATAAGGTTATGCAGGCATCTTGCTACGGTTTTAACAAATTAAACAATTTATTTATATTAAAGTGCGAATTAAAAGCCAATTTTATATTCAAAATTTTATTTATTTTCAGAACAACATTCGACACAGTTGGAATTCTGTAAGGGAATTTGTGTATTCGAAATTTAATTATTTATCCAATTATTTATCTTCTTTTGCTAATATTTTGATGGATAAAAATTCAATTTACAATACATCAAATCCCAAAGAATTCAAATTTAATTATAAAGTTAGTTTAACTTGTCTATATAATTTGCTCATTATTTATTAAAAATAGAGTGTAAGAAATGATCTATTTTACAATCAAAAAGAATAAAATTTAATTACTTGAAATTAGTCATTCAACGAATTTCTAATTAAATGTAATCATGTTTTGATATTGTAATAATATGTGATATATATATATACTCGTGCACACACGCATACGCACACATACCTTTAGTTTTTCATACGTTGATTAAAGAAAATTTTTTATAGATTTCAATTTAATACGTTTAAGCTTCTTTATAAATAAGTTTCAAACTTACATAGTGGCAAAAAACAAAATTGTTAAAAAATGAAAATGCCTATGGTACTGACAAAATGTCGATTAATACGTATATAGAATTCATAATGAATTGACTCGTTATTAATAAATTGTATAATTTGCCAATCTCTAGGATACCATTTCTTATTACTTTAATGCTATCATTCTTGAAATTTAAATTTCTATTTACCCACGCTAAAATAGTGATACTTATTATCACAATTCTACTACTTTATCACATTATTATACTCGATCGGTGGTAACAAAAATTATATGCAAATAATATAAACATATTATTAGAATAGAGTAGAATAAACTTATTGCACAATTTATAAAAACGTAACAAACACTCGCTTTTTAGACTACAGTAAAGTTTTCCCGCTTAAGTTTATAAACACTTGTCCGTAAAATCATTCGCCTATCGTTTGAACAGATCATCAATACCATATCAGCCAATCCATAAACATCAAATCCACAACTTCGTCGCCCAATAACAATCATAGGGTTCTTTACCTCCGGGGATGACGTTTCCAGCTCCACGATCGCCGTAGCCGAGCTCGGGTGGTATCGTAAGTTTCCTCTTTTCGGACACGCACATGTCCAAGAGTCCCTGGTCCCAGCCCTTGATCACTTGACCCACGCCAAGTTGGAATGTGAAAGGTGAATCTCTGTCGAAGCTGCAATGAAAATAGAAATTTGCTTTAATTAAGTCATATATCTGGTCTTGATAAAAAATAAATTTACCACTGCCATGATATTATTCTGCCTCCTTATTAACCTTTTAATAAGATCCCTTATTAATTAGAAAATTATAAATTAAAGCGCGACTTTTCTCAGTTATTCGACGTTACATCCATTTATATTTAACTACGTTTGTATTTTAATTTTGTACGAAAAATTTCATTTATCGTTCAGTATTTTCGATTTTTCAAACAAACAGACACTATACCCTTTTCATATATTTTATTTACTTCTTTGCAAGTATTATTTTCGAATTCATAATATGGGATTCATAATACATCAGTGCATTAAAATTGAAAATCATAGTTTATTCCAACCGCTTAGCTGTCTTGATATTTTAAAAAGAATTTTTAGATTTATTATTCCTTATGTAGATATAAATAATTAATGTTTTATATCTGGCATAATTTTACTTTATACTTTCGTGCGTTTAATTATTATTAATTTATTGCAAATTCATCACGTCGAATATTGTAATGGACCATTCAATAGACCAAATATAACATAATAAAAATTATGAAATAATATATTAACATTACATTATTTTAGTAATTATTCTTTTCAATCGCCAGAGCTGAGTTATGAAGCTATAAATTCTTATTAAACTCTTTTAAAAATTTATTTATTTTTCATAGTGCCTTACTTTCTGACCTCCCATGAGAGTTTAACGAGTATATGTGCGTATTAGAATATCCATGATATATTCATAATATCATTAGTCTTTAATTTACAAACATTTTTGAATTACTACATAATTACAGATTAATTGCAATTAATTTGTCAATTCAATAAATTCATATTATAGAACATGAAATACAGAAAATATCATTGATTAACCGAATTATTAATTGGAGACAAAATAATTTACGTAATAATAGCATGTACGTTATCCTTTTCGTAATGTTTCAACAAAATCGAATAAGCTGAAACATTAATTAATAAAATTATCACACATCATAAGCGCCTCCATTACTTATGATTCTTATCGTCTAACCCTTTACCATCTCAATATCATAATAAGCAGCGATTTTACGCGTAGTTGCCCCAACGAACAAAGAGCGCACGAGAACAAGAATTACCTGTCGGCAAAGCTGCCGCCCAGCCTTTCCAATCGCGAGCTTCTTAATTCCTTAATTAATTAAATTCATCCGCCATGGTGGCTCGCACCTTTAATTACACTCTAATTTAGCGGCGAAAGCAATTGACGTGAGTGTAAACTTCAATTTTTTAGCGAAATTACAGCGGGCGGCTGTAATCGCGATAACGATTACAAAGGTGATCCCCCCCACCCACCCGCCCACCCTCCTCCAACCATCGATTATAATTTTATTGGTTGAACTTTTACAAACACGGGGTCCAGCGACGCTTTTGCGCTTGACTGCGACACGAAGCCGACGTCTGTTAATTGACGCAGACGCCAAGTGTTTCGCATTTTTTCTCCATCCGATTTTTCGCCTGCAAGTGCGCGCCTCTTTCTCGCTACTTCCGCTTTTACAGCAGCGCGGTTACTTTCATGCGCCATTCTTTTATTAGTCTAATTTGTGGCGAAAGTGTATTTTCACTGGCTGTGACGACATCTATAAGTTGTTTATTGCCCCCGACTGTTTCATTTTTAATTAAGCCTCTAAACTTTTTGCATTTGCTATTCTGCTTGAATTCCATAGTTTGCCACATTGTAATAACTTATGTGCATTTGTCGTTGGATAATTTTTATAATTAACGCTTGTGTACTTTCACGTTCCTAGTTTCGTTTCAGTTTACATAAATATCTTCACGTTACATTTCACTTACCTACCTACCTAATTGAAAGGTTTGTAAATTTACTGTATAACCCTACAGGACTTGAGTTAGCGCTACATCATTTAAGTATTACAGGCAAATTAAGCTACGTCAATCATTAAAAAATATTCAAATATTCTTATAATACGAATAATGGCTAAAAAAAGTTTTCAGAGCTATAATAAAATTAATTTGATTTATAGATGAAGTATATTATTTTATTCGGAGCTGTCACACTGTCATTGTTTTATCATTACATTTCATTTTCCATGAAAGTATGCTAACAAGCTCACCTAAAACTTTATGGTGAAAGGAATGATTATTAAAAATATATTTTGTTTATCGTTTGAAGCCCAGATCATTAGCCTTTAATATTTATGTTCTCATAAGAGAGTCATAATAAGCCGACGGTGAACGAAGCTTACGCAATCATCAAATACTTTGTCAAATTACCGTCTCTTTAAATTATTTTTTAATCATCGTACGATATTTTGACTGCACTGCGTTTACAAAAAATTTCTCACGAGACTTTTATATTCTCAAAGCCAATAATGCTTCCACCGTTTTTATATCGAGTCGATGAAAAGTTGTATAATTCTAAGAGACCAATGCTGAAACGTAATTCGCAAAAACTTCGTATTTGTATTGTTCGAAAATTGCTCATAATACAGTCGATGGAAAATGTAAATTGTTTTTTTGTTTCTATATTATCGTTAAATATCGCTAAATAAATAAATAATTATCGCTAAAAATCGCAACTTTAAATGATTAAGAAAGTTTATTTATTAAGTGACAAAGATTTTAAGTCAAATAGAGATGACTACAATATATATATATATATATATATATATATATATATATATATATATATGAATAAAAATAATAATGTATTTTAATAAAACGCAAACATACAAAATCATAAAAGTTTACTATTATAGATATTTTCTTCAGAATTCGCTCTCAATTTGTAGGAAATAATTTAAATACAATTGCACTAAAACACTGTAATTTTTTTTAAATTGCAGTTTATTTGGCACTCCTTTTTACAAAATCTAATTCTTTTCGTTAAATCCTGTCGTCAGAACAGATACGTCAGATATACGTAGACGATATAAGCGCCAAATATATAGTGTAAGATATATATGTATATATATATATATATATATATATATATATCTTACACTATACAAAGCGCCAAAGAAAGATAAGAATGGAGTATGTAAAGTGCGGACATTCCGTGGAGAAGCTGCAACTACGTTCTCCCTTCCTCATTTTTCAAAAGGACGACGAAAGGGAGCGCTTTTCACCATATCCTTTCACTTCTCTTGGCGTTCATTCACCTCGTACTCTGCCTGTTTTTTTTTTTTTTTTTTTTTTTTTAATTAATATTCGAAATCGCTTTTACGAGGTTGGACTCGAAAGGCTGTCCTAGTGCACTGCAGCTTCTTTCCCCGCTCGCAGATTTTCAGAATTGCAGTTAGAGTTAATGAGTTTTCGCTTACAGGGATTTACCACTCGACACCCTGATTATTTTCTTTTTCATTTTAATCTATCCACGGTCTTGACAAATGAAAGTTGCGCTATTTTTAGATCTGCGAAGAACTCGAGACTCGAGCGCGGAAATTATCGATGTTAGATTTTTGTATTTTAACACCAATACACACTCCTACTAAAAACTATCATTAATTTGTACAAATAGTTACATGTACGATAAGCCCCAGTTATAATTACGATAAAGAGTCCGTCGAAGATTAACACATCCCAATTAAAATCGTTAAACTGGCTTAGAATATTATTTTAAATGCTTTTACATTTAAAAGGATATTAAAGATTATGAGTAGGTGTTTCAATTCTCGAACAAGTATCCTCGTTATCATAAATACTCAACATGAAATATGAAAAATTTCATACAGAAATAAAATTTTTTCTTATAAGTCATCGTTATATTTTTAGGTGAAATGTAGTAATGAAATAAAAATAATGTTGATATTCCCTAAACCATTTGGAACTTCTTAACTCTAACAAATACATTATAATAAATGATGTATCATATCGGTAATTTATACAATCGATAATAATGGATAAGTTAATTAATAAAATAATTATAAAGTAATTATACGCATAACTAAATGTGTGCACAGAAAGATAAATAATCATTAATAGAATTCTCCAAATTACTTTTTCTTATCCCTTAGCAATTATTTTTTTCTTCACTTCACCTATATGCTTTTTTATTTTTTCAAACTCCCTTATATCCGAGGACGTACACGTTTAGACACGTAATATCTTCTCTTTTTCTCACAAATTTACATCCACGCGGCACGTCACGAGTCTGAATATAGCCGACGCAATGCGTCAAGCTTCTTTATATTTATTCTAGTTCTCTCTCCTACATGCTGATTTGGTTCATATCATTTTCAACATTCCATACTATCTTTGTCAAAAATAGATATACTTATGAATTTTACTTTTTATTTATAAATATCTCTATCTCTCTCTCTCTCTCCCTCTCTCTCTCTCTCTCTCTCTCTCTCTCTCTCTCTCTCTCTTTGATTCCCTTTATGAACCTATTTTTTATATTTTTTCTATTCTTCTTATTTCACTTTTTTCACCTTTACCCATTTGTTCTACTATTTACTTGACGATACTACTTTAACAGTTCAAATAACATTACGGCTTTTAACATATTAATGAAAATACTTTGGAAGGAAAATTTTTTGCTTTTAATATTATAATTTTCTATTCTTCAACTATAAAGTTTATAAAAAAATTATAAATATATATATATATATATATATACAGATTAGATATTCCACTGTATGAATGAGTGCATTCATTATAATTGGTAAAACTTTTTTATTTCATAATTTAATGTCTTAAATATTTATTGATAATTAAATATTATTTTATTATGCTAATATTCTTAAATAATATGTCGTACTTTTATTTATTACAGAAAAATAAATCATTAATATCGTCGATATATTTTAATAATTTACGCATTATGTAGGAATATAAATTCAATATACATTACTAAAACACACATGCATTATAAATAAATAATATCTCCCTATAAAGTAGAAAGATCTGAATATTAAAATAATATGTAACTAAACTTAACCGTATAAATATTGTCAGTATAATTCATCGTCCTGAA